CGCGTGCTGGAGGGTCCCCTCCCCGCCGCTTGCTGAGAGTCTTGGTCACGATTGGGAGCTGGGTTTTGTCGGCTGCTGCTCAGCGTCCAGTGTTGTGCCCACGAGATCTTTACCTGTTGGGGGATGGGTGGCATTGACTGGTTTCCAAACGCTGGGCCAGCTTTGCTTCCCTGGGGCCTAGTCTATAAATTCTGTACGGTGTCGGGTTCCGTGCGCGAATATTTGGTTGAGGATTTCTGCGTCTCTCGTTTTCTCGTAATGGCTCTGTCTGGTTTTGGTGTCAGGGTGACACTGCCCTCGCACAGTCAGTCAGCGCGTGTCCCCTCCGCTTCTGTGGCAGGCCTCGGTTGCGGGGTCTCGTTCTCCGTGTTTGGCGGGGACGCTGGCGAGTGTGCTCTTCGCTCTCAGTCTTTCTAAAGTGTTTGTTTTAAAGACGAACTGAGAGTGTAGTTTTATTTTGTGAGCCACTGAATCTTTTCGGTAGCAGGTGAATTAACCCCCCTTATATTTTTGGTTTCTTTTTTCGTCCATTTTTTTCTTCCTCTGCTGATGTGGGATTTAGAGACTCCCCTTCCCTTCTCAGGGGTGACCTTTGAACGTGGCCTGCATGGTGACCCGACAGCTCTCCGGCGTCCCATTGGGGGCCGCCCGTTCCCCAGCTCTTTATGCCCTGCACCCTTATTTTTCCCGCTCGGCGTCTCTGTGTAATCGTGTGAAGTTACGTGATGTCTCACCCCTTCCTGAGCAGCGTGGAGACCCCTCACATGCTGCGACGGGTCGCCTGTCTCCCAGGTAACGTGACATCACACGGAGCTCCAGTTGTGTCCCCTTTAAACCCCGTAGAGCCGACGCCGCTCCTTTCTTTCCGAAGTGGTCGTTTGCCTTTCCGCGCTTGTTTCTGTTTGTGTTTCCACCATCTGTCCTGAGGTCCAGGCTGCCCCCTGAAGGTGTCTGGGGGGCCCTGGGGGCCTCAGTCCTCCTGCCAGTGCTGGCTTCTGGGTGGCCTTTGGGAAGTGGGCCCTGCCACCTTCGAGAGCTGGTCTGTCTCCGGGCCTCGGGCGTATGTGCAGTTGGCGCCTGTGCTCCCCACTTCGGGACCTGGAGGGGGGAGTGTGGCAGTCCCCACTCCGCCCACAGCTTCCCCGGGCGCACTCGGCCTGCCCCTCGCCTCCCCCCCACACCCCTGCGTGCCTGACGAGTCCGTGGCTGCCTTGCTCAGTCTAGGGGTTGGAGTGAGGAGCTGTCGGGGGCCTGGGGGCCCTGGGGCACATGGGGGGCGGGCTGAGAGGCGAGCTCGGGGCCCTCAGCATGCGTGGGTTCCTGGGGCTCCCGGCACAATGCACCACAGACAGGGTGTGGGCCCCTCGCTCCGTCCCCCACGTCCCTCCAGCTCTCGGCCCATCCTTCAGTCTGCATCCTGTGTGCCACTGGGTTTAGAGCCCAATTCAAGTTCCCGATGGACTCATCACAACTGCAAAAGCCTCTTTTCTAAATCAGACCCGTTCACAGGCTCCAGGTGGATGTGGCGAGTGTGCCCAGCCCCCTGGCTCTCATCCCTGTGGTGGGGCAGACGGGGAATAACCAGTGGATCACAGTTTGCTATTTGAAAGTAGGTCAGCAGGA